GTCTTCCAGATACTAGAACAGATCTCCTTCGCCACATTTCGACGTGGGCTCAGTCGCAAGATCAACTTATTTTCTGGCTAAACGGCATGGCGGGGACTGGTAAATCTACTATTGCACGGACTGTCGCTCAATCCTTCCAAAATCAAGGGCTTTTAGGTGCCAGCTTTTTTTTCAAGCGAGGCGAAGCCGACCGTGGTAACGCAAAGCGCTTTGTATCGACTCTCGCACGTCAACTAATCATCAAGCATCGGCAACTAGGTTTCGATGTCTTCAATGCAATTGAGAATGATTCGGATGTTGTGTTCAAATCTCTTGATATACAGTTCGAAAAGCTCCTTTATCAGCCACTCCAAAAGCTGTCTACTAGCCAATCTATAACAATTTTGATTGTTATTGATGCTTTGGACGAGTGTGACGGAGATAAGGACCAACAACTTATTCTTAACTGCTTGTTTAAGATGCAAGAAATCAAATCTGTGCACCTTCGAGTGTTCCTAACCAGCCGACCTGAACTCCCTGTTCGCAATGGCTTTGACAAAAATAAGAATCACCACAATTTGATCCTCCAAGAGCTTCCCAAGTCCGTGATTGAACATGATATTCGTCTTTTCTTCGAAAGTAAGCTTCTGGCCATACAAAAAGAGCGCTCACTGTCACCCGAATGGCCCGGAAGTGAGAAAATTGAAAAGCTGGTGGCAATGGCTATTCCTCTATTTATCTTCGCAGCTACGATTTGCCGCTTTGTCGGAGAGAGAAAATGGCGTCCAGAACAACAACTTGAAAAGATTCTTAACAGTGCGAGTACATCTTCGGAAGACGAAATGGCGCGAACATACACGCCTATCCTAAGCCAGCTTCTTGCTGGAGCTAACGAGGAAGAGACACATCAGCTGAAGAAAGAGTTCCAACATATAATTGGGACTATTATTCTTCTAGCTTCACCTTTGCCCCTTGATGCCCTCTCCCTGCTCATTGAATTCTCACTTGATGATATTAATAATCGCTTGGACGGATTCCACTCTGTTCTCAGTATACCAGTGGATTCTGAAGCACCAGTCCGGATTCTACACTTGTCATTTCGAGACTACCTCCTGGACAAAAGGTGCCCCTTTAATGTTCCTGAGCAAGATACACATAGTAGAATCGCTTCACATTGTCTCCGGCTTATGGAAACCCGGCTCAAAGAAAATATCTGCATACTACCAAGTTACGGCACACAAAAAGAGAATATTGAGCCTCAGATTGTCGACACGCATATCAACGCTGATCTGAAATACGCCTGTCGTTTCTGGGTTCATCATCTGGAACAGAGCAAAGATCAAATTATAGACTCTGATGTTCTTCCTTTTCTCCAGAACCATTTTCTTCATTGGTTGGAGGTACTAGCTTTGATAGGAGGAATATCGGAAGCGGTAGGATTAATAGTTGGATTAAAGTTAAGAGTATGTATACGTTTATGGTTCGCTACTTAGAAGACTGGCTAAATTTTATCTAGGCGCAACTTGGCTCTGAGTTATCTGATTTTTTATATGATGCGGAAAGATTTATTCGTCAAAATAACTACATGGCAGCAATTGCTCCACTACAGATCTACCGCGCTGGTCTTGTATTTGCACCGACGAAAAGTATTATCAAGCAGATATTCTTCACCAAAGTTAAAGATCAACTGGCAGTTAGAATAGCAGTACAAGATTCCTGGAGCTCAAATCTGCAGACATTTGAAGGGCATTCCAGCATGGTCCAGTCAGTGGCCTTCTCACCGGACGGTCGCACGCTGGCGTCGGCCTCGGACGATAACACCATCAAGCTCTGGGATACAGCCACGGGCGTCGAGCAGCGCACGCTGACCGGCCAC